AGAGGAGCTGTTAGTTTTATTTGTGTATGGTTTTCTGTGGAAATATCTTGACAGCGGGAGGTTAGAAGGCAAGATGAAATATTGTCTGTCTGCGAGCACATTTATTTATGTGCAAGTGCATACGTGCATAAGAGATGAGCAGTTATATATGTAGAAATCACTAGAAAGGACCAAGTCCCTGGTATACTTTTTTTTGCAAGACTGCATATGGAGAAAGAGCTACTTTTTGATGTTGTTCTGACATTAAAAATGAAATTTCAGACACTGAATTGTGTTGTGTATTGAATCATAATCTCATACAGAACCTTTACAGCAGACGATCGCAGCATTGTATTTGTAAACGGTAGACTATTTTGCACTTAAATAGATGTTGATGCATCTGGGAATTACAACACAGTAAAGGGCTAAATCATAGTTTCTCCATTTTGTTATAATCCAAATGCATTTATATTACTAGTATTATAAAGTGCCAGAAACACATACAGTCCCTCACAAACATGTTAAATAGAGAAGAGGCTAAATTCTGCCCTTGGTTACACTTGCACATCTCCAGTGAAAGGGCTGTTAAGCTGCAGAGCGGTCTCCCTGGGGAAGCTGTTTGAAAAGCCCTGCCATTGTTCTAACAAAGCTCGGTGATAATGTAGCACATGACGAGAGTAAAAGAAGAGTATTTTACTTAAGATTTGACGGCCTGCCCTTTCCAGCATCTAACCAACCAAATCTCTTTTGTCCCTATTTCCAAGGGTAGCCCCAATCTCCCAGACCAAAACTTACAGCATCATATCAGAACAATGTCAAAGAAGGGAGGTTGTCTCCTCTTTGCCGTTTCCTTGCTTAAACCACATTATCACTTGTGATCATTACACTGTTGACTTCTTTGAGGAGGCATTTTGAATTAAATTCTTCGAAGTTTGTGTATACGGTTCCTGTAAAATTCTCATTCAACAGAGAACACCCTGCAGGATGGTCTGGAGTAGCATGGAGAAGGGCTGTCCGGTGGCTTTAGATTTGCAGAACTAGAGAAAGCAATGCCAGGAAATGCAGGGGCGAGGCATTGCTACGGGCAGGTCTGCTTCATGCTGGCATCTAGAGCTGTAGCAGAGGTCATGAAAGCAGCCTCTAAATTGTTCTCTTGCCAGAAAGGTGGAGAGTGAGATCTTCAGTGAGAAGTGAAATTAAATTTGTTAGTGATTAACAGGACAAGAGAGATGTGTTGGAAGCAATTGGTGCCAATGAGGCCTCTCGGCTGCTCCCCTAAGCAAATTGCAGTCTCAGTGGAATATCAGCTTCTCAGTCCATCAAATTGCAGTAATCAAGTCTGGAGCTGATGGGAGCATGAGTCACCACAATTTTCTCATCAGTGGAGGCCAAGTTTTCAAAATATTTTTAGATGCATTTCCACAGAGATTTCTGCCAGCCAGTGACCTGTAGAATGACAAGAAAATAAGCAATAGCTGCTGTTGAATCAGGTTCTGCTCCCTGCCACCTACCCTGCTGCCTGCAGTTTTGGGCAGGGAGGACAGGTAGATCAAAGGCCTTTGGCATTGTTATGCAGAAGAGAGCCCCACTGAGGTGATCCCAACACCTGGATTTGTTATAACCTGTTAATTCTTAGGCTCTCTGGTAGGTTCAAATCGACAGACTCTGTGTTGCTATCCCAGACCTGCAGCAGGCATGAGATTAGAAATTGTGATCCCTGCTCAGACAGACAGCCGGTACCCACCAGCTGCAGGACACAGAAGGGGCCGTGCATCTCCTAAGCATCCCGTGCTGGTGCATATTGTCCACTCTTTACCTGTGTTCAAAGTTGCCACCCAGCACAACCATTTTTCACCCAGTTAAGAAGAAGAAGAAAAAAAAAAGGCTCTTTGGATGGCATACTCTGTGGGTGGGCTCCGTCTAATATAGTTATTCAAAGGCTTGCAGATGTCAGCGTGCTGATCTTAGTTCATCTCTGTCAGAGAAAACTTATTATTTATGGTCAGTTTTCTTATGAAACAGTTCCAAATTCTAATGGAAATCAGCTTTCTTAAAAGGGAGGAAAATGGGCTGCATCGAAGGAAAGACAATTTCATTGATAGGATTAAAAAAATTATGGCTGTCATGTGAGAACTGGCCCTTTGCCAGAAGAATTGCAGAAAATAAAATTTGACAGTCCCATGCCAATAATTGGGTGTGAAATTCTATTGACAAAAGCTTTTGCAATTCTGTGCTCCCTCCCCTTCTTAGCATGTGACTGCAGTCCTTCCCCAGGAGTGCCCTTGGCCTGCTGTACAGCCCGTACCCAAGACGTTACAAAATTCTGTCTTGCTTCCTGGTGCCTTCCTCGTGTAGTTTTGCCAATTCTTGTCAACAGTGTTCGATGAAATAAATTATGTCTTTTTTTCCCCTATCTTCAACCAAAATTCACACACACACACACACACACTCCCTTTTAACTTCTCCCAGTTAGCTGTCCCTAACTGAACCTGTTGGTGTCATCACCAAGATGATGCTCTCATCTGCTTGGAGAGCCTCTCTAAGAAGATGCATCCTTCTTAGAGACCCATCCCATAGCAGCATGACAGGATAACCATGACCAACAAACGAGGGCAGCTTTCCAAGGTGCTGCCTGGGGAAGCAAAAGTCATTTTTTTTGTGCTGACACTGAAGAACTTTACCCATGCAAATTATGGTTCTCATGTTCTTCATTAGGACTCACAGCTCCCCTGGATGGAAACACCCGCGTGCACACGGGCCAGCAGCTGTATCCATTATAGTCGCTGTTGGTCCTTTGGGCAACTCCATGTTACTGTGTGATGTGTTTTGCCAAGTTCTACAGCAAATTCTCACTTGTTTTCTTTCATAATATTGCTTTAAATTAGAGACATTTCAGGAGAAAGTATTTTTCTTTATAAAAATGACAAAAAAATCTTTCTCAGTGAAATATTTTACATCGCTGTTTGTCAAAAAAATTAACTGTCGTTTCCAAACAGTGGCTCAGGACTGAAAAAGAGCATTTGGCTCATGCATTCACTCTGCTCCATCCCCAAAACATACACACAGTCTTCCAGGTACCTCACAGCAAGTTGCCTAAAGCCCCCTTTAGAAAACCGCTACAACATCTGTTTAGGTCCAATTCCCTGATAAATAAAATATATCCCAGAGGCATAATAGCGTACTAAAAATAAGAGTATGACACAATTTCAAGCAGCTAATATGATAACTCTGTTTGATGCAGCTCACAGAGTGTTAATGTGGGAAGCCTGTATCTTTTCAGCTCGGTTGCCTGCGAGCATCGCGCACAGATCTCTCCCTGAGCCAGAGCCAAATCCCACAGCCG